TATACATCCAAAACACAGTGTTGTAAAACGATGTTACTTCAATAAAAATAATTTTAAAAATATATTACAACAAGAAAGCCACCCTCAGGAACATCAACCTTATATATGTGAATCCTCAGAAACCTAGGTCATGACCTCCTTGCCTCCAAATTATAGTGCTAGCTTGTGCAAAGTCTAATTTAATATGTTGGCTTGTGTTTAAAAAGAAAGAAGACATAAAAAAAAACTACAACGTAATTTAACTGCTGCATGGAATATTGATAATAATTCATATTTATTTTCTATTTACTATGTGCCAGACACCATTCTAAGCACTTCTCAAGATTATCTCATTCACGACAGCCCTAAGAGATCGTTATTAACTCAGGTGATAAATGGAGGCTCAGAGAAGCTAAACAAATTTCCCCAGACACTTAGCTAAAGTGAAAGAATGGATTTCAAATCAAGGAAATAAAATTACAGAACTTAGGCTATTAAAATGGATAGCTAATAGTACAATAGTGTATAACATCTATTAGTAATTATAAATTTTCATAAACCTGGATGAAAGTGAAATAGTGTGAGCCTTTGACCTAAAAAGAGTAGCAATGTTTAATAACATCTTTACAGCAACAGCAGAAGTATAATGAAGAGTCAAATTCAGTTCCAGAACTGAAAAAAAAGGGCTGAGGTGTTCCAGAAGGAAAGGTATTAAACAAAGTGCAGCTGTGAGCAGGTAGGTGCTGCAGCAGTGTATGATACAGGGTGAGCTTTATTGCTCCTTCAGTGTTCTTTCCTCATTTGACCTTAGAATAGATCCAGTACATCTTCGGGAGTGCAAGAGATTCTGCTGGGCCATGATCTGCTTACTCACAGAATCAGTGCCTCAATAATGATAAATAAAATAAATGATACCTTTTGTATTTTCATTCTTGATGTGATTTTTTTTTAATAACTTCTGATCAAATTTGGGAAGTAATACAGTCTAAATTATATCACTGTAATTTTTAACTTATTCTGAGTTATTCAAATTATTTTGCTACAGTGAAAAATCCTGAAAACAATTTTTGCCCCTACAATAAATAAAACTACTTATGCAAAAATTCATTAACTAAAAACTGAAATGAATTAAAGCTTCAATTCCAAAATACAACAGATTCACATTAAAGGTTTTCTTAAAAAGTCTAACTTCATGCTGGAGAGGTAAAAGAAATAATTCACATAGAAAATTTCATTCAGTGCCTTGAGTATATTTTTGAAGTGGCTGAGTGTCGGCAATGTCAACATCATATGTACTTGAGAAGGACTCATGCATTCTCTTGATATGTCTTTACATTGTGAATCTCAAACATCAAATGAATATGTTTGTTTCTCCTCATTTTTTTTTCATTAAAAAGTTGTAAAAATCTTTTCAAGGGAAAACTGATTTTAAATTCAGATTTATATCTTAGAACCTTAATTGAGAGGATCACTTATTGTTGTTCAATATTCTAAAAGCAAACTAGATGCCTGTTTTTTTCCCAGCTTATTTCCAATATCAGAATCGATCTGATGGCACACAAAAGAATGCGTTTTCAGGAGTTTTCTTAATTGCTCTAAAATGTAATGTGTCAGGATGAGTACCCTATTAGCCTTTCCTTCTTCTTTAGCTACTAAGTTTAAGCTTCCTGCTAAAAAACAAGGTGCTTAACTATTTCTTACTCTTAGGTAAAATGGGAAGGAATTTTAATTTTTAAATCTGGTCCTTTTCAATTTTTAATCTATAATAAACATTTTATATCATATAGATATTAAATTTATATATAACTATGAATTTATATGTAACATATCTATAATAATTTATATTAAATATACTTTAAAATATTTAATAAATATTAGATATTAAATTATATTGTTTAATACTTTAAATTTTAAAATATAATTTCAGTTTTAGGTCTAAGACAATATCAGAATGAGATTTTCTCTATCTTAGCGCAGGCAGAGTACTCCTGTGACCATGAAGATTTCTGTGGCACATTTTCTGGTCTCTTTCCACCTATTCTGGCCTCTGATGGGTGAATTACAAGACAGTTCTATATCAATGACCACCTCTCTCTTATGCATCCGAAATGAAGAGAGACTATGAAAAGTTACATTTCAAAGATTTTCTAAAGAGCCTCCAGAGTCCACACATATTTATAAGGAAAACCTGGGTAGGACAGGGGAGGATGCAAGCCAAAACACAGACAGTGGTTTCCAGGCCTGGCTGGTATCTGAATGGCAGAGATAGCCTTGGAAAGTGTTACATCTACGGACCAGTCCTGAATGAATGGAATCAGTTGCTGGTAAGCCTTCATACATTATCCCAGGCTAAAATTTATTTTTTTAATAAAATAAAATTTATTTCATTTTTCCTAATGACATTACTTTATAAATTACTTAGTGATGCATATGAAAGAACATTCCTCTTATATAAGCATATAGTTGAGGAGCTGAGATCTGAGATTTTATCTAACTTGCTTTTATAATTCCCTTCTCTATCTCCATAAGTAAATCTTTCCTTGTATTATAACTTTCTTTTACAATTTTTTTCCATTAGTATAATCAGACTGAGTTTATGTTGCAATATTCAGAAAATTTAATTTCATATTTAGTGTAGCACATTTATCAAAGAGAAAGGTGAATATTAAACATTTGTTAATACTTCTTTCCATTAAGAAAATCTAATAATTACTGGTGTTCATCATTAAAATATAAAACAAGATCTATACTCGCTTGATAGCTCATTCTAGTCACAATTTTTATTTTTTTTCCTCTATTATAAAACATGTGACTCAAAACACAGACTGTGAAAGTGGTACTTTATTTTCTAAACTATTTCAGAATGTCCTGATTAATGGTTTAGAGCAATATACAAGCATATACCTTCTAGAACTGCAATAATAGCTAAGATTTATGAGCAATTCCTATGTGCCAAGAACAGAACTAAATGCTTGTTCTAAATTATCTTATTTAATCTGCATTGCACATTTAAGCCTATGAAACTTGGGAGTTTAAGTAACTGCCTAGACTAATAGAGCTAGCTTGTAAATATAAGAGGCTGAGAGGGTAGAGGCAACTTATAGAATTACATATGCACAAGTACCTTAAGATCTTGGCAGGCAGTATTTAGCACTGAGCTATTCATTAATATGATTCATACTTTTTTTTATTAAACATAGAGTTAACATTTATGTAGATAAGATATGTAGGTTCTTAGAACATTAATGTCACATATTCATATGTGAACTGGTACTATAGACCACACACCATCCATTCATTCTCTTCAGCAAGTGACTATGAATTAAAAGTGGCAAATTGTTCTCATGGTAGAACTCCCTATTGCCCGGTTGGCTTGTACCAGTCCATTGGGTTCACTATCACTCTACCGTCTTATTGAACTGGATCAGGAGAGAGGTGTACATACTTTGGACAACGGAGAATGGAGACATTTAGCTATCAGAACCATTTGTGTTGCATATTTCACCCCATTTTACTTATGACATTCCTAAGGAAGAGCAAAATTTTCTTAGCACTATGCCAATTTTCCTATTTTGAGCATTTACTGAATGTTATATCATTCAGTAATGATATGACAGTAATTCATTTATGGGAAATTTTCCTTGGGACTCTAATAATGAATGCTAAACTCCTGATAAATTAAAAACAAAGATGACTTAGGGCCTGCTTTTGTAAGACAGAGGTAAACAATAAAAAGAGGATTACATCTCAAAGTATAGGAAATGCTGCAGAGAAACTGCATTAAGTGAGGCATGAAGAGAAGCTATTTCAGCCCTTTTGACTGGAGGGGAGGACACATATGCATTCAAGATAAAAGATTTCTTCAGGCTTAAAGATTTTTAACAATAGGAGTTGATGATCAATGACAGAAAGAAGCATGTTCTAATGATTTTTTGGGACCAGATCATCTTGACTTTTCATTTTTCATGAAGTCCTCCAATAAATGCATCTACTCCGTTTTTCTCTCCCAGCATCCTAAACAATTATTTTGATTCCAGTGTTCAATGACTTTATGAAATACTTTTCTGAATAGTAAAAGGGGAAAGTGAATCACGCTGCTCGATGAGTGACAGCAATATTCAAGGGTTACAAATAAAGTAATAAAAGAAAATTCACGTGATCACTTAAAAATCTAACCCAAGCCTATGTCTCTGGCTAATAGGCATGAATATAGTGGTATTTCTTGTAAGCTTGACCTCTCATCTTCCAACATATTTTGATATTTGATATCAACCATAATGCTGAACATGCAAAATTCCTTAAGATATCTTAATATATCAGTCAAAGAATAATTTAATAGATGAATTAAAAACAAATTTGCTGATTCTTAGTTTACTCTAAATGTCTAGAAATAGCATATTAGTATTCTTATGACCAACATATTATTATTAGAACACGTGTGGTGAGTCAGAATGATACCGTCAGAGGAAGAAAGTTGGGCCCACTTAATCTGCTTCAGGATTTCTCAATTTTGTGTTCAGAGAGGCAGCCCTAGTAAATGGAGTGGAAAAGTAAAAGTGAAATGATAGAAAAGGAAAAAAAATAGCTATAGATTGTGAAGACAGATTCAGAGAAAAAGGCAGAAGAAATACTGGAGTAGATTGAAAGGAAAGAATACAAAATGAAAAGACAGACTAGGAATAGTGACACTGGTTCAGAGGAATTTAACAAAGCAAGCTGAGCATATCTTTGCACTATGACAATGATTACTGCGCATCATTTTTGGCTTTATAAAGAATAAGGAATTTCATATATACCATTAGCTTAATTTCTGAAGTCACAGAACAGTGGAGAGAACATTTTAGTTAAGTTTCTATAAAATGTAGATAGCAATGTTGCTAAGAAATGAGGCATTCAGTGATATGTTATGACTTTTACTATGGGGTTACATGATTTGAAAATATGAACTTGGAAGGTCTTGTTAATTTGAATTAGAAACCAATTAAAAAATTCAGATTTAAAATATTTAGACATAGACTTACCCAACTGACAGGAAAGGCTCCTTTGATTCAAGTCTATGAAAAAAAGGTAAATATTAATTTTAATGTAATAATTTGCTGTACATTTAAAATTGCTTTTATATGAGTATGACAGCATTATTAAACTTATTTGGATGAAAATGCATGATGTAGAATCTACGAGGAGCTATAAATAAAATATTAAGATCTAATCTAGACAAATTCAAATTTTGGCTGGATTAATGCAGAGGCTAAATAAAATGAGAGACTAGGAATGGGAATGTAGCAGTTAAATGATACATTAAATAATATTTTTAGTCTAATTCTGATTTACACACTACTCTTCTTTTTTTACAGTAATTTGTTTGTAGATGTTTTAGTATATCCAGTAGTGAAGCAATTTATCATGCATTTGGTTATTTACTGGTTGAAAATTTATTTCCAGTAAATTTCTGTAATGAAGTGAGAAGCAGCAAGACCACTTGGGTCAGAATGGAGTCAAAACAGAGGTTCCTCCTGAACCTCTGTGATGCTTCTAACCAGGTCTTTTTTCTAACTCTTAACATATATATATATATATATATATATATATTAAAGATTTATTTATTTATGCACACAAGAGCTGGGGTATAGGCCAGAGGTTTGGGGGGTGGTGAGAGGAGTCACCAGAGACAGAGTGGGGAACAGATTGACCAAAGTACACTGCTAAGTGGAGCAGTGGATGAGTCAGGAAAGGTCTGCTGCGTCTTGTGGGTTGCTCCTGGCTGACCAGGGATCGAATTTGTGCCGCAGAGGCTGCAGACAGCCTTACAGGTTGCATCCCAACCCCTTGGGCAACCAGGGAGGCCCTAACTCTTAACATAGTAAAGGAGAATTCTAATCCCGAAACCTCTGGCTAGTTGTGATATCTTGGAGCTAGAAGGAATTATGCTCAGTGAAATAAGCCAGAAGGAAAAAGAAAAACATCAGATGGTTTCACTTATAGCAGGAATACAGGAGAACCAAATAAGACATCAGTGTAAAAAAAATAATAACAGTACAAAACACAACAAAGCAAAAACAGACAATTATAAATCAGAGACATACTGCAGGGGAGGAGGCAGGAGAGGGATCAGAGGGAGGGAGGGAGGGAGGAGCTCAGGGGACTGAGGTGATGGTGCACGGGTGCATTGGTGAAGGAAACTCTATGGGGACTACACCTGGAGGGGGTTGGGGGGAAGCAAATATTGTTTAAAAATGAACAGTGATGAAAAAAAAGAAAAAAATCAATTAATAAAAAAAAATTAAAAAAATACCTTCTGAAAAGTACTAGATAGTTTGTCTCCATCTTTACCACATTGCTCATCACTTTAACTATCTCCTTGAGATAATGGTTTACAATGGTGTTTGCACTTTGAAAGTACTGGATTCCCCACTCCGCTTTGGTGCTGTTACCATGGCTCCCACCACCAAAGCACTCATAGTCCACCACCTTAGCCCACTGTGCTCCTTCCTCAGTTTGTGACCTCTCTTCCTCTTTCCCTTCTCTTCCCCCTAATTCAGTTTTATAGTTTTCTTTCAAATACTAGTTTTGGGGGTTGGCTTTATCTGACTCTTTGTCTATATTCCACATATAAATAACAACATCCCAGTATTTTTTTCTCCTTCAGACTTATTTCACTTAGCATCATCCCTTCCAGATCCTTTTTACACTGCTGGTGGGAACATAAACTGGTTTAGGCCCTGTGGAGCAGTATGGATTTTTCTCAAAAGGTTGAAAATACATCTCCCGTATGACCCAACAATTCCTTCCTAGGTATCTATCTGAAGAACACAAATACACTAATTCAAAGGGATACTTGCACTTCCATGTTCATTGCAGCACTATTTATAACAACCTAAGTGCCCCCAAACAGACTAGTGGATTGCAAAGATGTGCTATATATACACAATGCAATGCCACTTGGTGGTCAAAAAAGATAAACTCATGCCATTTGCAGCAACATTTCAAAGTTTTTAAGATGAGATCAGATGGAGAGTTCTGACTGCTCTAATACAAACAGGAGTTTTTTAACTCTGGCCGACAGAACAAATCCTGTCCACCATCTGATTTTGCACAACTCACAAGCTAAGAGTGGTTTTTCATTCTTGAAATGGTTGGAAAATATCAAAATAAGAATATTTTGTGACATGTATAATTACATGAAATTCAAATTTCAGCTTCTGTAAATAAAATTTATTAGAACACAGACATCCTTATTCATTTGTGTATTGGTTAAGGTTGCTTTTTGCTGCTGTGCTGCAAGGTGAGTAGTTGCAACTATAAGGGCACAATCTGAAAATATTTACTATCAGGCTGTAAAGAACAAGTGTGTCAACACATGAAATACATTATTGGAAAGAACTGAAAACAAACTGGAAGAAGGAACTCTATTTTAAAATATATCAAGATAGTCTCCCAAACCTAGAAGTACAGAATAATTTAAATGCCTTTCTACATCACCAATTCAGTATCTGACTCTACTGACAGATTGGTTTCCATAAATGCTGTTTTCATGTCACACCCGTCTCAACAATTTCAGTAACAATAGGATGATGTTCAAACTTTTGAGCTTCTCATTGAAACATGCCTCACACTAGCTTTCTATGTTGTTCTTTATCACTTCTCTTATAACCATATTATTACAGGAAACTTATCTACGTAAAGCCCAACAAATCTGGTTGTTAAGCTTTGCTTGGTGTCTTTAAGCATTCTAGTTCTATGCCAGTATACTGTTTTTCCTCCTTACCCTATGCATGATCTATTGATCTTTTAAGTTTATCTCAAGTGCATGTCTTCATGAAGCCAATATTGACACCTTCATCTACAGGGACAGTCATGTCTTCCAATATCTATTGTCTCCAACACTATGAAAATAGTCTGAAGGCAAAAATCCTAGCTTAAAAGACTTAGCGTTTTTTTTTTTTTATGACTGATAAGAATATAAAACTTGAGTCTCTACTTAGACAAAAATTATCTGACAGTTCCATGTTCAGCCTTCTAATGGACCCAATTGGGAGGTACCTGCTGATGTTTTTTGAGTTCAAGGTAAAAGATGATCAATGCCCACTAGTCATTTTCAGACATTGAAGAAAAGCCCTAGGTACCAGGATTTCCAAGCATTTTTAGTGGTAAAGTAGAGCAGAAATCTTGTTGGAGAGCCACCCTCAGATTATCCAAACTCATGTGTTATCCTCAAAATGTTGAGAAACTGCAGAGGAAACATGACAACCAGCACAAATTGAATGATGCTTTGCTTTGTAACCAGCAGCTCCAATATGGAGTCAACTTCCCCAGTCTTGAGACCATCCAGTGATTCTTACACTTTTCTCATTAATTACATAGCAAACCTTATAGCTAACTCAAGGGACTGTTGTGAAGAAGACAAGATTTTGCATTTAGAGTAACTAGCACAGTTCACCCTCAGTCATGACTGTGCCAAAGATAATCCATTACCCCTAAGGGCTGAACCTCCTTGAATATATGAAAACCTCACTTTTTCAATTTTAGTCCTGAAAGTAAAAAAAAAAAAAATGTAAAAGAAGAAAACTTCTAGGAGAAAATCCCTTTGGAGAAAAATGTTTATCAATTGAATCCTTAGAAACAGATGATTACATTGTGATATGAGCAGAGAGAACTTTTCTAAGTTGTTTTTAAAATTTTTTGTAAGATAATTGTTTTGTGAAGAAAAGGATTGATTTTATCTTCCCTAAGATTTACTTTTAACATGAAATAGGCAGTGAATTTTATAACTCTTCATTCGGGACTCACTGGAATTAGAAGATAAACAAACCATAACCTTCAGAAAAATTATAAATAGAAGAACTATAAAATAGAGGATGAAATAAAGATGATTATTTAGAGCTAAAGGATTTATATTTGTAGTTAACAAAACACTAAGTTGTATTTACTAAGGGCCAAGGTATTAAAAATGCTATAGGCTTTGACTGATTTAAATATCATGATACCTTCTAAGATAGATCTCACTTTACAAAATGAAGAATCTGATGTCCAAAGATGCTAAGTATCTTGCCCAGGGTCACACAGCTAAAAAGTGATTGAGCTAGGATTTGAATTCAGGTATTCTAGCTTCAAAGTTCATGTCTCATGCCTCCCATGGTACCCTGCTCTTGTCAATTTGTTTGTTTTGTTCATATGTATGTATGTATGTGCCTTATGGTGTACATATGTTCATATGTATGTATGTGCCTTATGGTGTTGTCACATTTCCTTTCTTTATATTTTCTGTGTTCTACCAAGAAAACTGATGTATGTTTTCAAAACGTTAGTGAAATGCTCAGTATTTCCAAATACATATCTCTAATATCATTCTATTTATGGCGGGTGACTAAATTGACCACCATACATCTCAAATGGTACGTAGGTGCCTATAAATGAACATGTCCCAAACTAAATTCATTGTCTTCTTCCCTCATTCTGTTCTTTCCTCTTTATCCCTAATTCAGTGGCACAGTTACTCATATGATCAAATTAGAAAGATTAGAATCTTTCAGTAGACTCTCTTAGTTCTGTCATTTCTATTGTCATGTTCCTCTTCTTTCTGTTCTGACCTCTCCTTTTTGTTATCACAGTTCAAATGATCATTACATGGGCTATCAGCATAATTTCCTCAATGATCTTCCTTCTTCTGTTTTTTTTTTTTTTTGTTTTTGTTTTTGTTTTTGGTATAGTCATCTCTGAGAGCAGAGTTGTATCATCTTTCTGACCTAAATTTTACAAATTTCTGAGTGTTTATAGGAAGTATTTTCCTATAAGGCATAAGGGGCTGGTTAGGAGTGCAGCTAGGAGTGCATTCCTAACCAGTCCCTGTTCTCACATGACTATTTTCACAGCACATCTTCTGAAACTTAATCATGGTATATTAAAATCACTAGTATATTTTTCAAGCTTCCCATTAAGATTGCTTACTTTTTGAAAGTAGGAACTCACTATATTTTCACTGTATTTCAAGTGCCTAGAATCACACCCTTTTCATAAGAGGCTGTCATTAATTTTGTCAGATGAACTTTGTCTCACC